AATGGAAATAAAACCTCACGCGATACACACTCTTTATCGATCGACTTGAAATCGCTGGTCGCTGCGGAATTAAATCCTGAAATTATTGGGGCGTGCTGCTGTTATGAGAAACGTACACAATATATTTTAAACAAATCACCAGCTTTTTTTTTTTATTCACCCTACTTGCATACAAGCCGGGAGTTTCAACGGGACGGTGGTAGTTCGGCTCGAGGCTGACGTCGTATATCTAAACTGATAACCGGGTCATTTCTTAACCAGAGAACGAACGTCTACGATTACAGAGTTAATAATTGATAAAGACAAATTGACTCTGATCTAGTCAAAGCTTGGTTTCCCCTTGGTAAACGTAATTACGACGATACAATTCATTTTTAATGGAAACGGGCCGCTACGATCGATTTCGAATTAACGATTAATTGTATTGTGCGTGGAGGATTGTGCTCTCGATGCTGCAAAGTTTATTTTCATTATAAAATTGATTTTCTATTAGACCGTAAGCTCTATTTATTAAAGCACTATAAAATTGAAAATTTACTTAAGTGTTGATTGCCTTCGTAAAATTACAAGAAGCTGCGTAAACATTAAATGTTTAAGACTTTCGAATTATTATAATCGCAGTGACGAGGAGTTAACTCTGTTCTTCCCAGTTAACAAATTAATTGTATATAACCAACTAAAAATTTGGTTTATACTTGCGGGAGGAAAACATTGTTAATTAATTATAGCTATTTATATTTGAATTTTAAATCTATTAAGTCACAAGCATTGTGATAAACAAGTTGCACGATGTGTATATCTCACCTTCATTTCTATGATATATTGTATCGAGTCACGCTCGTTTGATGAATCATGGTCTCAATTCGAATCTCTCAATCGCAGATTAACAAGTATTGTAAATACTTTGCATTTGTACACGATGTAACGAATTATAAATAACTAACGTTTGCTTCACCTTCAAGTGTTTGACATCGTTGGTTTATTGTACGATTTATGTATTGCAAAATTTAGGGCGATGAATTTCATTCCGTATTTTACATGTTCTGTGAGACAGAGCGAGATCAATAATAAAGTAAAATTAAAACGAAATTAAGTAATTCCATCCTTGACTCCTCAAGAGCTCGCCTGAACTTCGACAAAACCTGGCAAACTTCCTTGTTTATTCCATTATTTTACTATTATATGGTAAATTTACAAATTTGTGTGAAACGCCATTTTCGAAAGGGAGAGCTTCTATTCTTCTAAACGCAAGAAGAAATCATCATCATCATCATCATCATCAATGTAAACATAACATTCCACCGACAGTTGAACCCTATGCACATATATTGGAGGTTGAATTGGAGGCGTTATGGGCTGTAACGATACCAGTCGAGAACCGTGGAATTTAAAAAGAGAGTCAACAAAGGCAAACAACGATTGGAAATGCTATTCGAAACGGTGGTCAGAAGGTTATTAGCAAACAGCGTGGGAAACAAGGTGTGAAAGCGAGGTAGCTACGGTCGTAAAATCGTAGCATGGTGCTGGTAAAATAGAAAAGATAGAAAAGTGGGACAAGCGGGCACACGACGAAGGCAGAGGTTGGCCCGCCGGTGGATGAGAGGTTACTCCGAGTTTCAGCCCATCGATCCCTCCACCTGCGGGGGTGTAAGGTCGTTACACTCGCGTCTATGTACCAGAAAGCGTACATTGCATAGTTTCCTCGTATTATTCCTATTGATGCCCGGCCACCGGTGCAAGACAGCGACGACGACCCTCACGAATGCAATGTTCTAATTTCGCGGCGCAACTACCCCTTCCCTTGGCAACCATTACATACACATACATACACACAGGACGGAACGTTGATGGTCGCGTTGACGGTGACGGGGTCGCGGCCTGATTCGCAAACACTCTAAAAGACGACCTAGAAGGACAAGGGCCTCTCGTCAAACACTACGAAAGTACTCCCCCCCC